AGGTGAGGGGATCCAGCCCCACATGCTATGTGGGTACAGATGGAGGCCTGGTCACTAGGCCCAGGCTCCTCGGAGCCATCCCTGAGTGGGTGTCATTGGGAGCACTGCCATGAGAGGAGGAGCGGGAAGGAGAACCAAGGCAAAGACTAGGGACAAGGGAGGACTGGAGAGGGCCTCCTCACAGCTCACCTGGGCCCCACACAGGTCCTCAGTAGGTGCCGGGTGGTCAGGCCTCAGCCAACTCCCAGGTCTTCACAGCCAGCATTGACTATAGGACAGAGCGGCAGGCCTTTTGGCTAGGGAAGCCCAGTCCTCCTCCCTTTTCTGGGCCTTGCAACAGCTCCCTGCTTGTTTTCCCCAAAATAAATGGGCTGAGCATATTGGGCCGGCAATAACCCCTTGAAATCAGTTGTTATCACAGTTAACAACCAGTTTGGCTTCAGTTCAGGCTGTTAACTATCAAACCACTAAGTGCCGGTAATGATTGATTCTTGGCCAGTTGCAGCTTGAGTGGGCTGTAAAACCCCATTAGCTAGGGCTCTGCGGAGGCAGCAACTCAAAGATAAACAAGTTGGTGGGTGCTCTAGTCTAGCTTAGTCCCACTGCTCTGGGCTAAACTCCCATGGACCCCTGGCTTGGGGTCCTGCTGGGGAGTCAACCTCTTCCCAAAGCCTCAGGCACCCTAAAGGATGAGATCCCCACCCTCTTATCCAGTCCTCCCCTTCTCCCCCAATCCAGTCATCTCTCTCCTCTGTAGAAGGCAGGTCTGGCTCTCTGGACAGCTCACCTGTTCTCTTATGATGCACATATGGAACAATTTCACTCCTACCACCCTGGAGGACTCAAGCCTCCCCTAGTTTGGGGGCTTAAGGATTAGCTTTGGCCTAGCCAGTGACCAGCCTCGGCCTAGCCTGGCCCTGATTTGTGGCCAGGATCACAGGGAAAGAGCCTAACATTCCACCCACCCCCTCACACACACACCCGATTCCCTCCTATCCTGTGGTTTCCCCCAAGAATTGCTCTCAAACAAATGAAATGTGGGTAATTACTGGGCTGGGGGCTGGACAGGCGACCGTGCAGATAAAAGCGTTTCCTGGACGGTCCCTTCATTTACATGGCATCAGAAGCTGCTCAGAAGGTGTGACTTTTCCCACAGTGAGACCCCAGCTCCTTGCACAATAAAGCCAGGCTGCTCACCCAGAATTAATTAAAGGGGGAGGGGAGCAGAGGAGGAGGCACTAAGAACTGGGGGAGCTGGAGAGAGCTGTGTAGAGCCCCTTCCTCACATCCCCAGTGTCTATGTACCAGGAAAAACCCACTCTGTCCAGAGCCCCTTACCTGCTTTAGCAGGCACAAGAGGTAGAGTGGATAGACTCCCAGGCCTCCCACTGAACCCTGAAATTCCTGATCTACCTGCATGGTCCAAGTCTGGGATTTGGGCCTACAACTCTAGGAGGGCACATAGTTAAGAAGCCTTGGGCTGCCCCCATCCTAAGTGAAGTCCCAAAGAATAGAGACCTAGTCTCCTATGAGACCAGCCCAGGGGCATCTCAAAGAAGGCAGTGGAAGAAGTCCAAATCAAAGGCCTCAGTTAAGAAGGCTGGGCCAGCTCTGGGCTTAGGAGAACTGCCCCTGGGCTTGGGCTCTCTAGCTTTGGTGTGTCTCACCAAACGCACCCCCACACTCTCACTACCCACACCATGGCCTGGCCAGCACTCCCATGGCATTACCAGGCCATCCTAATCCCAGATTAGCCCTCCTTCACAGCTAGTCCTTGACGGATACCTGCCACTTCTCCCCCAGGTCATGACTACCTTGAACTCTACATTCCAGTCCCATCCCGTTTGTAGCTGTACTCCAATAGGCCCATCTCTCTGAGGTCAGCAGTCTCTTCTTAGACAGCAGTTCATTCCTGGGTTCTTCTGCAGCACCTGAGTTTAGCACCTTCTGCCCATAGCTCTCCAACCAGATCCCCCAAAGATAACACTTGTCTCAGTTATCAACACCAGCCTTGGCAATCCCCCTTCAATATACCACCACCATGGACCCTGGCAGCTGCTCTTTTCTTTCATTTTCTGGAGCCTGATTTCTCAAAAAGGACCAGTTCTGGAGTCTCCAACCCATTTCCCACATAGATCTAGGCACACAGAGAAAAGTACTTTTTTCACCCTCGGCAGAGTGCCATAGCTTGCAGCAACCTCAAACTCTTGGGCTCAATTGATCCTCTTGCCTCAGCCTCCCAAGTAGCTGGGACTATAGGTGCCTGCCACAAAACCCGGCTTGTTTTTAGAAACGGGGTCTCACTCTTGCTCTGGCTGGTCTTGAACTCATGAGTTCTGCTCTGGCTGGTCTCAAACTCATGAGTTCAAATGAGAAAAGCCCTTTTTAAAAGAATTGAATCCATGGTTACAGCTCTGGTTCTAGCATAGCCATCATTCCTGCCCCTGAGGTGACCTGGGCAAGTGTTAGCAATGACTCCTGTTAATAGTTAGAAAGTCCACGGAGGTGCCTGTAGCTCAGTGGGTAGGGCACCAGTCACATACACCGAAGCTAGCAGATTCTAGTGCAGCCTGGGCCAGCTAAAACAACAATGACAATTGTAACCAAAAAATAGCTGGGCATTGTGGCAAGCACCTATAATCCCAGCTACTTGGGAAGCTGAGGCAAGAGAATTGCTTAAGCCCAAGAACTTGAGGTTGCTGTGAGCTGTGACACCATGGCACTCTACTGAGGGTGACAGGTTGAGACTCTGTCTCAAAAAAAAGAAAGAAAGTCCTGGCTCCATTCCTGTAGGTCAGTGATTATGGTGCCAGCCACATACACCGAGGCTGGCAGCTTCGAATACAGCCTGGGCCAGCTAAAACAACGACAACTACAACAAAAAATAGCTGGGTGTTGTGGTAGACACTTGTAGTCCCAGCTACTTGGGAGGCTGAGACAAGAGAATCACTTAAGCCCAAGAGTTTGAGGTTGCTGTGAGCTATAACGCCACAGCACTCTACCAAGGGTGACTTATTAATAAGACTCTGTCTCAAAAAAATAAAAATAAAAATAAAAACCTTAAAAAAAATTATTAGAAAGTCCATGTCTGAGAGCTCCCAGAATGAGCTAGGAGCCTCTTCTCGCCTCTTTCCCTGCTTCTGTCCCCCCAGGAAAACCCCTCTGAGTGACAGTGAGGGAGACAGCTGACAGGTATGGGTCCTTAGGCTTAGGGGAGCTGGTCAGAGCTGTTACATCTCCCAGCAGCCTGTTAGGCTGAGGCAGGGCAGGAGGAAAGGGGGCAGGACTCACTCTGCAACACACACTTTTAATATGCAAATTAAATAAATATTTCAATCATTTAATAGCAACTAGTACACAACCACCCCCCACTGACACCCAACCCTAAAAGAAGGGGCCTGTGTCACAGTCCTTGCCTTCCAGCTCCACCTGGGGGTGCAGTGGAGTTTCTGGCCACCTGATCAGAAAACCCCTCACCCCAGAGCCCCCACCAGAATCCCTGTTTAGGCCATGAATGGGCCTTTCTGAGAAGTAAGAAGACAGACACCACAGCCAAGTGGAATATAAAAATAGAGCCTCTCTTTTGTTTAAAAAAAAATGCAAAAAACCCCAACAGCAAACAATATCAACAACCGGAACCCCTGGCTCTCCAGCACCTCCCCAGCCTGCATCAGGGCAGATCTCATCTGGCTTGAGTTTCTCTTTTGGGAGCCCCCACCAGAGGAGGGTCTCCTTGTCTGGTCTTGCGTGGAGGGGCTGGCAGGCACCTATCGGGGCTCAGGGGCCCAAGTCCTCTGGCTGCCACGCAAGCTGCGTGTGAAAGGCGGGTAGTTGAGGAACTCGAAGCGCAGGCTCTGCTCGGTGGTGTGGTGGCCGCGGGGCAGCCGCTTCATGAAGTGGACCTCGCGCTGGTGCTGTCGTGTCTTGGAACCCTTACGGGGCCGGCCCTTACGGGTGAAGGCCATGTACCAACCCTCATACTTGGCGTTCTGCAGCGCTGTGTAGTTGTTCTCCAGCACGATCTCCGTAAAGACGCAATCCTTGCCTTTGCCGTTGCTCTGCAGGTAGGGGGGCCAGACACTGCGTTACAGAGCCCTCCATCACAGGCAGAGGGCAAGCAGCCCCAGACAGCAGGTGGCACCCCAGCAGATGGCGAGGTGGGCAGGAGCTGCAGCCCCTACCCGGGCACCCGCTCTCTAATCCCTCACAACCCGCAGCCCACCCGGCACTTCCTGTCCTCCTGGGCAGCAGTGACACATGGTTGTCTATGGAGGGGCTGGGCCCCAACGCAGAGAGGCAGCGAGTGGGCTCCAGAGCCTGCCTGCTCTGGCCTCCTGCCCATCAGTCTGGCCACCCGTCTCCCCACCTGCCCTCCTCAGCCACTCAGGACTCCTGGCCCCAAGGCAGCCACCCTCTGGGGGAGGGGAGGCCTGTGAGGAGACTCTTGAGTCCCAAGCCCCAGAAGCCCAGGAAGTGGGTAGCTCCAGGCTGGAGAGGAGCCGTGACTAATGGGGCCATTTCAGAGCTCTGCCGAGGGGCTGGGCCCGCGGCTTACTGAACATTCCAAATGCTGGTACCATGTAATTGGACATAATAGCAAAGCAATTTGGCGATTTGTTAAAAAGATATATGGAATTTACCAACCCCCTCAACCCCGTCCCTAGCCTGCCTTCTTCCTCCTTCGCTTTTATAGCTTTTCATCTCTAAAGCAGTTTCTTTCTCTCTTACCCCCTTTATTAGGTAACCCCAAGGTAGCTCTGTGTCTCTGCCCACCTTGAGATCAGAGCTCAAGACTGTCCTGGAGGAGCTTAGCCAGGCCAGCCCCTCCCCAGGTCCCAGAGGCCCTACCACCCTTCTGGGTCTCACCTTGGCAATCAGCTTCCCCTTCTTGTTCATGCAGATGTAGAGGCCTGTCTCAGCTCCTCGGACTCTAACTCGGCTTCCAAAGGTGTCTGTTTCCACAATGAGCTTTGCTATTAGGGAAGATAGTTGGATGGTTATTGGAAGACCCTGATCCCAGCTGTTGCCCTTCCTCATCCCAGATGGCCCACAAACTTGTCACATTCCTACAGCAACTGCTCTCAGGGCCAGGTACCCAAAACCTGAGCTCCAGCCCAGCCAAGTTACTGATGTGCTGGGTGACCCTGGGAAAGGGCAAGTTTATAGACCAGGGGTGAATGGTACTGGGTTCCACAGAGCAGTCTTGGGGCCGTGCAATTGAAAAGGCTGAAGCTCCATTCCTTCTTCCTCTCTTTTTAAACTAGACAGTAATGACTTCTATGTTGAAGATCCAAGTAAAGTTTAGTTTTTTTGTTTTTTTGTTTTTTCTTTTTGAGACAGTTCTTGCTATGTTGCCCAGGCTAGAGTGCAATGGTGTCATCATAGCTCCCTACAACCTCAAACTTGTAGGCTCAAATGATCTTTCTGCCTCAGTATCCTGAGTAGCTGGGACTGCAGGCATGCACCACTGGCTATGTACAATTTAATTTGATCAGAGCTCTACAGCTAATCAAGAGATCTCCTTTGAGGATCCTTACAACTCAGAATATTTTTTTTTTTTTTTTGTTTTTGAGACCGTCTCAAGCTGTCACCCTGGGTAGAATGCTGTGGCTTCATAGCTCATAGCAACCTCCAACTCCTGGGCTCAAGCAATCCTCTTGCCTCAGTTTTTCTAATTTTAGTAGAGATGGGGTCTCGTTTTTTGTTCAGGCTGGTCTTGAACTCAAGAGCTCAAGCTATCCACCACCTCAGCCTCCCAGAGTGCTAGGATTAAGGGCATGAGATACTGCACCAAGCCATAACTTGGAATATTATAAGCACATGCCTTAGAGAACATTAACAAACATCCAGGTCGGCTCGGCGCCTATAGCTCAACCGGCTAAGGCGCCAGCCACGTACACCTAAGGTGGCGGGTTCGAATCCCCAGCCCGGACCCGCCAAACAACAATGACAGCTGCAACCAAAAAATAGCCGGGCGTTGTGGCGGGCGCCTGTGGTCCCAGCTACTTGGGAGGCGGAGGCAGGAGACTCGCTGGAGCCCAGGAGTTGGAGGTTGCTGTGAGCTGTAATGCCATGGCACTCTACCCAGGGGGACAGCTTGAGGCTCTGTCTCAAAAAAAAAAAAAAAAAAAAAAAAAAAAAAAAAAGAACAAACATCCAGGTCCAGCAATGACCTCCAATCCTGAAGCTAAAGATAAAAGTTTTCTCTCCTGTTTCTGCCACTTTGGATTCTAACTTATACAGTCTTGGTCACTTCCCATGATCACTACCTCTTGGGCAGCCCTGCTTTGCTCAGATGATAGGGATGGTGACAGCTCTCCCTATACACACACACACACACACACACACGCGCACACGTAACCCAAAGCCAGCTGCTTTCTCATAACCTCAGACATCTGCTGGGTGGATCCTACCTCTTCCCCATGGCTTCCCAGTCACCAAGGTCCCCCAGCCCCAGTGTCCAGAAATCAACAACTCAATTATCTTTTCTGTTTGAACCATCCTCACAGCTGGACTTCTCACCCCAGCAACCAAACCCTTCTGTGGGTGAGGAGGGCTAGGAGACTAGGGTTGAATTCTGTATCTTCTCCCCACTCCCCTTCCCTAGACAGCTTATCATAGATGCCTGTCCTGTCTACCTCTCTATGCAGTTCCTCTCTTAGAGGCTATCCTGAAGAAGGGAGTAAGGGATGATTTAGCTGCTTGAAATGAGATAGAGGAGATGGCTCTCCTGTCTTTCCTACAGCAACGTCCATCCTTCCCCCTCCTTGAAAAAGCAGTTCTGAGACTTAGCCTGCATTGACATGAGTCACATTCTCTGTCTCTGAAATCAATGACAGAGGTGGAAGGCACTGAGGTCAGTTAGGTAGCCATTCCTCCCCAGGCTGTGACTCCCCCCACTTCACATAGGCACAGGGCTGGAACCCAGTGGTCAGGCCCCTAGTGGTCTCCAATCTGGTTCCCCAGTGTGTGTGTGTGTGGGTGTGTGTGTGTGTGTGTCAGCAGCGGGGGGGCGGGGGGGGAGTTGGGGAGATAGGGGAATGAAGCTGTCACCTTCCCACCCATTCACCTGCTCTTAGGCCTAGCCATGGTGCTCATCCCTCTCCTGATCTGCTTTCTAGAGCAATAAGTGAGTGCTTTGTAAGGGCCAGGAAGGATGTTGACTAGAGAAGGGGTAAAAGGATCCCCTCTGAGGGTTCTAGCCAAATGGGCAGATGGGGATGGAGTAGTTGCCTCTGTTCCTTCCTGGGGCCCATAAAGAAGCAGCTGAGACCTCTCTGCTATTCTCCATAGGCTCTTAGGTGCTGCACACTCTAAGCACTTCTGTTCTTGGGGCCTCCAGCTCCTACTCCTACCCTGTAGGCAAGGACCAGAGAACCTAGGAAGCCTCCCATATATCTAAAGAGAGAAGTGGGTGTCAGACCTCTTCAGATGTCTGAAGACTGATTCCCCCACTGCCAGCTCGGCTTCTCCTTCCCTTCCCCAAATCCAAGGATGCTAAGCCATTTGCTGCAATGGAGCAAATCCTGGAGGAGCCAGGCATTCGTTCCCCTAGCCTTGGAAGCTGAGAAGGGCAGCAAGCAGCCAATTTGGAGGGACAAAGGGACCATAGGCCAGCTCTGCCAGCCCAGCAGGAGAGCTCGGCCACCGGGCAGGCTGCCCCCACCCCCTCCTCTACAGAGCCCCCACTCTCCTTCCCAAATAGATCTGGGGAGCTAGGGCTGAAGTTTACAGCGGCTTTCCCAACAGGGCTTTTGGAAAGCTTAACATTTTCAAACCTATTCTTCCACCCCAGTGACAGATTTATCCCAGGAAAATTATGTCTCCTCCTCCAGCTTTGAAGGGAAGTCAGCTACGTCCATGCAGAAAAAATGCAGCGAGACATACTCGATCCCCCAAACTGGCTCGAGAAGAGGAGAAAGTATTCAGGAAATGTTAAAAAAGGTGAAAGTAAGAAGAGTTTTAATCGCTCTGCCAGACGCGGGGGTCTCTCCAGAGATTCATAGAGAACAATCTTGAACCTCTTTTTTAACATTTACAGACTTGCAACTCCTTTCAAACTCCACATCTGAAAAAAAGGCTCGTTCTTCTTCTGTTTTATATCATTCTTCATTTTTCTTCTTAGCTCTTAAAATGCCTCACCTTTTTATTACATTTTAATAGAGTCTTCCCCTCTCCTTTCATGCTTGTTTAACTTGGTCATTATTTAAAGGTTTTTAAACTCACAATAATCGCTCTCTAAAAACAACACCAGCCGCCCAGAGGGCTTGCTTTTCTCTTGGTACATCCAGGACTCTGGAAATTGGCCCCATTTCAAGGCAGGAATATTGAATGTTTTAGAAATCAATCAGTCCTCGGCCTCTCTGCCGGCAGTAGCTCCCTGCACTCACCACCCCACAGGGAGCCAGAAGCCCTTGCCTGGGTTCTCAGACAAGCAGAGCAGGGAGGGCCCCTTTCCAAGCCTAGTCCTGGTGTAACTGACCCTTCTGATCAAAGTATTGAAAGGTTCACAGCACCCCCCTTTTCCAAGCTGGGAGAGTTGGATGGATTTCTCTTCTCTTTCCCACTTTTCCTTTTTCAGGCCCAGGCGACATATCCTCTTTCAAGAGCTTCCCTTAAACCTGGGGGCCCCCTCCCCATGAACCCCTAGCTTCAACCTGCAGGTGGGGAGGGGTGAATGAAGAGTGGTGTAAAGGGAGATTCCTGGATTCTTTCATCTGCTGGGCATGGAAGGGGGCACCTGTGGCCAAGTAGTCCCCAGGGCTTTTTCTCCACCCCTCTCTTCTCCAGCTGACCCTGCAAACTCCTTCCCTTCTGAGCTGGGGAGCCTATAGGCCTTTAACCAGTTCAGCTGGGGACTGGAAGTCCAGTCACCACAAGCAAGCTACCTTTACACCAAGAGATGCCATGCAGGGTGCCTTACCAAAGGGGTCCCCGTCTTCTGCCATGGCATTGATGCGTTTGTTGGCCAGGACCTGCACGTGCTTCCCACTGGTGCGACTGTATAGCTGGTAGGTCCGGATGAGGCGGCGGCTGAGCTGATCCGTCACCAGGCTCTGCTCCCTCACATGCTGTGTAAAATTAGGTGAGGACTGAACAGTTACCTTTAGGAAATTGAAAAATACACAACACGCCATTATAATGCTACTCTGCCCAGGGGCCAAAGTGGCCCCCATTGCCCACCCATCATCCCCCTCACTGCCCCAGGCAGCCAACAGAGGCTGGGGGAGGTCCCCCCAATGTGCCAGCCCAGACCACCATCCCCCACCTAGGAAAGTTGGGGAGACCCAGCCCTGGATGAATGAGCCCCGAGGAGAATCTGGACCCACCTGTTGGGCAACACCCTGGGGCTCCCGGCCAGCCCCGAATAGGGAAGTGAGCTCCCTGCCCAACGCAGGCCCCCGGCCCGGGCCTTCCTAGAGAAGCAGGGCGCTTTTAAGTAGGGAGGCAGCGCTACCCGACCCGTGACATTTATAAAGACAAATTTACGGAGCAAATGTTGAGAGCTCAGAGGATCTGGGCACCCGATCTTTAGGCCAAATTGGTCACAAGTCTCCCCAACAGCTGCGGAAAGGGTCCCTGATGCAGTCACCGAACCCTTCCCGGTAATGAACATCCCCTGGCCCCAGCTGCCCCCTCCCTCAGCGGCCAGGTGTGGCCGTCCATCGGGTTCCCTATCCACCCCAACCTGGGGAAGATGCGTGGGAGACGCGTGGTACTACCAGACCTTGGGTTCTAGCCTTTCCACTCTTTCGCTGGGTGACCTTAGGCAGGACTCTACCTCTCTGTTCCTTAGCTCCTTTCTCAGAGTAGTTGGGACTGGATTTCTAAGGTTCCTTCCAACCTAGCCGTCCTTGCCACAGAGTTGGTCCTCAGGGCCATGCCCTACATTGCCAACCTGAGTCCCCCGCCGGCCCGCCCGGTCCCCGCCTCCGCGCGGTGCTCCTTACCTGGGCTTGGAGGCAGAGAACCAGCAAGTGCAACAGCCTGTGGGAGACAAAAGCGGGGTGAGCGGAGCGGGTGCGGCTGGCCCAGCCGGGCGGGGACGCGGGGGCAGCGGTACTCACAGGCAGCTCAGCGCGGAGCGGGGGCTGCCCATGGCGCGCGGCCCGGGAGCACAGAGAGCCCCGGCGGGATCAAGCTTTCCCGCGGGAGGCTGCAGAGGGACAAGCTGGGGGTGGGCGGAGGGAGGTTCGGATGCGGGAGCCCAGCTGCGGTCCCGATGAGGTTCCTTGGGTCCCGTGGAATGTCGTGCTTGCCGCGCCGCGCTGAGTCGCTCTGCGCCGCTGCGGGAGCCGGTGGCCGCTGGCTGCTCAGAAGCCGGAGCAAGCAGGAGGGTAACGGGCCGCCGGGTGGGTGGGTAGGTGGAAAGGGAGGGGGAGGGGTGGGGGCGGGGGGCGCCACACCGGGCGCGAGGGGGGAGCACGGGGCTGGCGGCCGGAGCCCGCAGCCCCCGGCTGGGAGCGGGGCCGGGACTCAGCCCGGGGCGGGGGCGGGGCGAACCGGGGCGGGGCGCCCGACGGGTCTAGGATTGGGGGTCGGGGCTAGGGGAGGGGTCTGGCACTCGCGGGAGGGGCGGTGGTGGCCGGTGTGGGCGCCTCCCCCTATACCCGGCATGTACCCTTGCTACCTCTTGGGGCTGGGAGACGCGGGGATGGGGCGCCTCGGGCAGCTGCTCTGCTGGGCCCCAAAACCCTGAGCTGGGGCTTCCTGAACCGTCCAGTATGCCGGAGTCCGACAGGGTTAGGTCTCCCAGTGGTCCCTCATCCGCTGCCGCCTCCGGCTATGCGGCCTGTCTATGAGCCACCTACTGTGTACTAGGGCTGGGCCTGCCACCTAGGAGCAGCCGCTACCAGTGGTACGAATGACTGTACGCCTGTCTCTCGCACAGTGCGAGCCTGTGCTACCCGTACCTGGCTGAACACCTTGCCTTGCTCCTCTCTTGTCTTGTTCAGTCTCCAAGGAGGCCCTGGGAACGAGAAATGATTCCCCCAGCCCCTATCGCAATATCACTATCACCCCTGCTTCTGTCTCCCCGCTACTAGCCTAAAGCTTGAGAGGAACCTTGAACCACCCCTGTAGAGAGGGGAGCCCAAATGTCCCTAGCAAGTCCCACAGCTACTACCCCCCCCCAAAAAAAACCCAGCAGGGAGCGGGGCAAAACGAACTATTCTCAGCAGCGTTTTGTAGGGAAAGAGACTTAGGGGCTTAGCTACAGACCACCCAGCCCTTTCCCCCTCAGTGTCCCATTATTTTTTCATTTTGCAGGTATTTACATACCTACTGTGTACTAGGCATGGGCTGGTACCTTGGGTCAACTGCGGGTAGGAGTGGGGGCAAAGGTAGGCACTTTCCCAGCTCCTCACCTCATTGCTTCCCTCTAAGGTTTCCTGAAAACCCTGAGCTATCACACTGCTTCTGTAGGAGCAGCCTGTGGGGAAAAGTGCTCTGGGACAGGTACTTGTGAGGAACAGGTGGAGTCACAGATGACCTACCCAGCTGCTGCCTTCATCCACAACCTCCCTGTCCTCACTGGCCTCCCGACCCTGGGGGTAGCACTGGAGGGGTTGGGGGAGTCTCAGGGAGCCACTAAGCTAGAGGAAGCAGGCAGGACCTTGTCCAGCAGCACAGCCAGCTTCTGCCTACTCCCCTGGCTTTGTGTCCACCTTTCCCTGTGTCCCATCTTTCCCAACTCCCAGCCATCAATGAACATCAAGAAATGTCGAGAAGGGAAGTTAAAGGACTTATCCCAAGATAACTTCCCTCCTCAGAGAAGTAAACTTCCTGAGCCCACCTGTTACTCCCCTCCAAGAGTCTGTTCATTCACGAGGCTCCTGCCCATGCAGACCTTGAGGCAAGAACCATGTCTTTACCAGCTTATAAATCGCAGCTCAGGGCACAGACTCAGCAAAGTTGTTCTGCAGTTATTGTTTGTTGAATGAATTAATGAATAATGGGGAAGTTGGCTGAGCATTTAGACATAAGTCAGCCCATGTGCAACTTTCCCAGGTAGACTTGCCTTCACCCCACCCAACAGATAATAATCATAAGCACTACCATTTATTGAGCACTTGTATTTGCTAAAGGCTTGGCAGGCACTGTCTCCTCTCAACCCCACTGGATCAGGTGGACTCTAGTGGCCACAGCCCAGGCCAGTCCTTTTCCTTCACTGTCCTCTGCTTAAGGATTGAGTCATGATTTGTTCAATATATGCTTCCCTCTCTGCACTGCTCCAAGCCAGTAAGGGTGATATCTGTTTGCTCACTGTCTTAACCTCACACCCATGAAAATGTTTGTTATTAATGAATAATTGAACAGAGAGATGGGGAGCAGGGACTGGACACTTCCTAAAAGGGATTTGCCTTCTGCCCACCATGGACCCAGCCCTCTGGTAAGTCTGATGAGAGGAGCAGAGAGCAGCTATCTGGTAGTGTGTACATGGTCCCAGAGTCAAAACCAGAGCCAGACTGGACACCTTCCCTTCCCTGAGTTGGGGTGGAGGCAGAGAACGTGGCTCAGACCAGCATTAAACTCTGGTTGTCTCTGAGAAGATTCTGAGGACCCTGAGTTGAACTTCAATGGTCTTCGTCTATCCTCTTCCCTCTCCCCTGGAAAACATTAACATCTCTCCAAGGTCAGAGTGTTAGTGGTACCCCTAACCTCTGCCACTGAGCATTTGCAGGACCAGAATTCCTTTACATTCTGAGACCCTCTCAGGAACTGGATGCTCACACAGTTCTTTGAGATTCTCCTCATCTCTCGCCAAATCCACATGGCTAGGGGAGAGGGGCAGATGAGGACACCCCCGCAGCAGGCACCTAGTTCAGCCCCGGCACGCCCAGTGACTGACAGATGCAAATGTTCCGCCGGGTCCCCGCGGGCCGCTACCTCCCTGGCTTGCCCGCCTGCTCTCCCACCTCCCGGCCAGCTCCCTCCTTCCTTTATCTTATCAAAGCCCCGTAATTACAATTGCTATTTTGTTTCCTTGAATCTGCAATCAGAGCTCCTGGGCCCAGATGAGCGAACGCCTGTCAACCTGATCGCTGAGTGACAGGTTGAGCTTGGCCACTTTTCTTGGCCGCTCCCACACTTGGCAAACACAAACACACACATGCACACTCCCTGGTCTGCAAACACAAACACACACTCCTCACCAACACAAACAGCCCCTCTCCGCAGACACGCCCTCGCCGGCACCCAAACACACACCTTCAGCCTCTTCCCAAACGCACCCCGGCCCCTCAAATCCACGCCGGCAGGAGCCAGCCGCTGGGTAGGCAGCTCGCTCATACTGCGTGCTCCTGCGCCCTGATGTTCAAAGCATCCGCGGGCTCTCAGCCGACTCTTTTTTTTTTTTTTTTGAGACAGAGCCTCAAGCTGTCCCCCTGGGTAGAGTGCTGTGGCATTACAGCTCACAGCAACCTCCAACTCCTGGGCTCAAGCGAGTCTCCTGCCTCCGCCTCCCAAGTAGCTGGGACCACAGGCGCCCGCCACAACGCCCGGCTATTTTTTTTGGTTGTAGCCATCATTGTTGTTTGGCGTGTCCGGGCTGGGGATTCGAACCCGCCACCTTAGGTGTACGTGGCTGGCGCCTTAGCCGGTTGAGCTATAGGCGCCGAGCCAGCCGACTCTTAAATACAAATCGCTGGGACTACATTATGCACTTCGGACCTGTCTGGGAGCCATTCCCCTAAGCCCCCCAAATACGACCCTGCCCCTTCTTCAGCTGGCAAACCCCAGCGTAGGGCTTCATTCCGCAGCGCTCCGAGGCCAGAGTAAACTGGCGGAGCTCCCACTGTGTGCTTGAGGGGCCAGAAAAGGGTGATCGAGGAGAAGCAGGAGCAGGGAGGGAGTAAAAACAATTCTCAGCTCTGTTCCCTGGGCGCCCCATCGGGCTGGGTAATTCCTGACTCAGAATCGATGTGGATTGGGCCACCACTGCGGGCAGGAGTGTGCTCGGCGACTGCCCACGCCAACTAGAAGACTGACCAGGAAAACAGGCCAGGAATACAATGAACCGTCGTTGGCATCACGGGGGGGATGGTGTGGCAGGGGGTAACTATTGGAGCAGGGCCAAGCGCAGGGGGTAGATGGGTCAGCTTGGCAGGCTTCCTACTGTGCTACACTCAGCCAGACTCTCCGGGTCTCCAACCAAGCACGTGCCGAGGACTTCGGAGGCTGGAGGCGAAGTGAGGAAGGGAAAGGAGTTGTGAATACCACAGCCCGGCTCCCCTACTCTAACAAGAGCCCTTCCAGTGAATGAATGTTCGCACACATGCTAGCAAGCCCAATGACTTATTCTGTCGCCTTCTGCCTAACATTTGGCAGCCGGTACCACTAGCCGAGCCCTTAAAGGCGGCTGGCGAAGCAGTCCCGACCACCAGAGGGCGCCAACGCCACCTTCTTCTCTCCCGCCGACCTCAAGCCTCCCGCGAGTGGCTCCAAGACAGGCTGTCCCCTTTGCCTTGGCTTTTCAGTGGAAACATTTCAGGAAAGCAATTCCGGTATGAAGAAAGCGCCTATGACCCTGATCACTGCAACATGGAGAGGAGTCACCTTCCTCTGTCCTCAACTTGAGGACAAAGAGGGTTGAAAATTGCACCTCCTAGCCATCACGGGTATGGGAGAACCTCTTTAGGGGTGTTGAGTAGAGTGCTTCTCTGTATTATGGGGACTCTCTTCAAAGTTTACCTTACCTGTCCCAATACCAGCCCCTTGGAGTTATCTTGGGACCCCTCCCCCTTGCCCACTCATTTGGCCAGATTGGTTCTGGAATTGGCCTGACCTCACCAGGCCCTGTTCTCTGTCCATCCTCAGCCTGTCTGGCCCCAGGGTGTCTGGGGAGGTAATGCTTTGTCTGTTTGTTTGTGGGGCATTGTCAACTCCCCAACACAGCTGTTGAACTGCTGACCCCAAAGCTGGTTACTCACATGCTCATCCTCACACCAGGTACATCCTTTCTTCCTGGCATAGTTGCAGCCAACACCCAGAACCACCTGATTCCGGGCACCAGAGACCTTCCCCGCCCCCAGACAAGGCGGTGTGTTGCGTAGTTCAAGAGCCCAATTCCCAGGGGCCCCTTTCTGCCCCCATATGCCAGGCCACCCGGATTCTGGTTTCCTTGTCACCCAATCTGGGCCAGTCCCCTCCATCTGGCCCCTGGAATCAAGTTTCTAAGGGTCCAGCCTTGCTCAGACTCAAAAAGGAGGAGCAAAGACTGGTCCCTGCCCCACCCCTTGCAGGCCCTCTCTGGGCCTCAGCCCCCTCACGGAGTTAGGGATGCACATTCCTCAGCCTGCTTAAGGCCCCTTATCTGCCCCCTGCCCATCAACCTGAGTGCTGACAGAGGCCCAGGCCCCTTGTTTGGACGCTGATAACCTCCTGCAATGGCCCTCCCCCACCTGCAGCGGCTGGGAACAGACTAAGTGTTGGGAGGTCCCCTTCCAGCAAGGCAGTCCGGGCCCAGGCTTCATCCTGGTCCAGGGACCAGGGAATAAGATCCCACATTCCCCCACCCTCCCACAGGCCAAGAGCCACCTTCAGTGCTGCTACAGTGCCACCTGGTGGTCCCCAGGGGAATGTCACCCAGCATGGGAAGAGGCCACACAAATGAGTTGCAAAAACCTCACAGCACTTTATTATTTCAACCTTCATCCAAAAATGTAAAAAGTGTTAAAAACATGTAGTTCTGACCTCCACACATTAACCTCCAATTCTCATAGGCAGGTAGGAAGGGAGGGATGATCAGGATAAAAGTTCACAGTTCCTCCAACCCCTAGAGAAAAGGGAAGCCCCAGGCATGGCATACAACCAGAACAGCAGGTCCCTATGGAGAACAGGCCCCTTTCCTAGCTCAAGCCCAAGTCCCTCAAACCAAACCCTACCCCAAACTCTCCTCAACGAAGAGGAAACATTTAAAAATTCTTGAAACTTGTCCAGGAACATGGTGCATGGCACATGTAGCAGGCAGCTGGCTGACCTGGGAAGAGCAAATACGGGTCAGCATCCAGGCCTTTACCTGCTCCTCCCTTCCCTCCCAGAGACTTCTGGCATCCTTCCCTCTACTCACCAAGGAGTGCTAGGGCTTGCCCCTGTGCTTTTTGGCAGGAAGGATGGGACACAACTCAGTTTCTTCCTCTTCACTCTCCTCTTCTTCACTCTCCTCTTCCTCAGAAATATCATTGCCTATAGTAACTGATGGACACACAAGGAAGTAGGGGGAGGTGGCCCCTTTCGCACCACACTTACTTATGGCCTGTGGTGATAGTCTTGCAGGAACTCCGGCCTCCCAGAGCTTATAGTTTAGGTGGGAAGAACCTCAGGCACTAAACTGGGCAACAGAGAGCTTAAAGGAGTCCACATCACTGAAGTTGGGAGAAACTGGGACAGGTTCCATGAAGGAGGTAGGCTTGAGTAGGACAGAAAGTACAGGGCACAGCACAGGAGGGCATGCAGGTCTGCATGGAGGCTGAGCTGGGAGATGAGGCTGGGATGGGGCAGAAGTGTGGAGTGGAGGGGGGACCTGATGAGAATCTACTGGAGGAAAAGGAGAGGGCCCACCCCTCCTCTTACCAATCTGGTGCCGCCCAGTGATCCGCACAGGACCAGAGCCTGACTTCAGGCGGAATGTTACAGGTGGTTGGAGCTGGAAGTCATCTAGGCTGAGCTGGAAGGAAGACAAGGATGAAGGCCTGGCCTACACCTAGCCCAACCCACCTATGATGAGTACTGAAGTCCTCAATCCCCTCACCACAACCACGGAGGTATGGCTGGGGAACTCACCATGGGCTGGCAGGACAACTTGAGGTTGGCCACAGGCACTGCAATCTCCTGGTGGTCATGGTTCTGGGCCACAACTTCTACCACATTACACTCGTCTTTGGCCCCCTCAGTCAGGCAGAGCTGGGAAGAGTACACAGGGCCTCCTCAAGCGAGGGCTGACACCACTAGTGAAGGCATCTACCTTAGAATTTGCCCAGCCTCAGAGGCCCCTGGATCACCTGGCAGGGGAGCCACCCACGTGGGGCTTAAGCAGATAATATGACTCCCGGTAAAGGGAGGAGAGTTGGGTTGAGGCCCGCTAATTCCCTACCCAGGTTTATTCATCACTGACCCCTCCCTCGCCCCTCACCATGGTCAATGCCAGCACGTGCTCTGCATCATCCTCCTCCTCTACTTTGAAGGTGAAAGAGCGGGTATGTCCGGAAAGCTCACAGCCTGGGAAAGAACAGTGTTGAATAAGCTTGCGTATACGTGTGGGGACGTTTCACCAACCTCTACCCCATTCCCGTCACGTGTAACCACAGGCTGACCCACCATTTACACGCCCACCAGACGCCTCTTCCCTCAGAACACCTGCGGCACTCGGCCTTGGCCCCCGCCCCATACACCTAGACAGGGATCTCACCGCCCGGTTTCACTCAAGCGGCCGCGTGCGAAGCGCCCCCCTCCTTGCCTTGGGGAACAGCGAGGCACCGCTCCACCCCCACACACGCCACGAAACCATCGCATTCCTGTTCTTCATCACGAGTTCTTGCCGCCCCAGTACCACCCTCAGACCCTCCCTTCCCCAATACCGAAGAAAAAACTGTCCATAGTGACTGGGGCCGGGACCCGCAGACCCCCGACACCCTCGGCTCGGACTCGGCTTTCCTGACTGAAAAACGCCAAGGCGGCAGCAGTACCGGCGGCCATGCTGCAAGGGCGGCCTCTAAACTCCGCCCCCGACACGTACAAAGCGAGGTACCCTTGGCCAGTTCCGGCCCCGCCCATTAAAGGAGACGCTCAGTCAAGAAAGGGGAAAGGCACCGAGGAGGGTCTTAGCGCTTTTCCGCCCAGCAGCCTGCGACTGCAGCTCAGACCTGTCAAGACTGCAGAAAGGGATAACAGCACAGAGCAATGGATTTTTTTTTTTTTTTTTTGAGACAGAGCCTCAAGCTGTCCCCCTGGGTAGAGTGCCGTGGCATTACAGCTCACAGCAACCTCCAACTCCTGGGCTCAAGCGAGTCTCCTGCCTCTGCCTCCCAAGCAGCTGGGACCACAGGCGCCCGCCACAACGCCCGGCTATTTTTTGGTTGTAGCCGTCATTGTTGTTTGGCAGGTCCGGGCTGGGGATTCGAACCCGCCACCTTAGGTGTACGTGGCTGGCGCCTTAGCCGGTTGAGCTATAGGCGCCGAGCCAGAGCAATGGATTTAAGATTAATGTTAATGTCCTTGCTCATTTCCACGACCACGAGGGCATCTATTTTCTACAGCTACCCACACCCCCTTATCTATACACAGTGTATTTCCTATTCCTCCCTGTAAACAGCACAACAGCATAAAGCATGGGATTTAGGATTTCTTCTAAGAGCAAAGGAAACGTGCTCAGACTTGTCTTTGCCCCAAGAGCCCAGGAGCCTGAAGACTTCCAACTATAGGAATTTCCACCCAAACTCTTCTGTCCTCTCAGCTTAAGCCTTTTTTGACATGCTTCCTGGTCTAATGACCCACAACTTGTCATTAAGCTTTAGCTGCCAATTTGATGCTGGCACATACTGGTAGAGGAATTAAACTAACATGTGGATTCAACTGTTACTCCTGACAACCCCCCAGGTTTTTTTTTAACTTTCAAACCAGCCCAGGTAACTTCATCTGCCTTATATTTTCTGTCATAAAATTTAGGCCATTTTCCCATCTTTCACCTTTGACTTTAGAAGCAGGCAAACTGTTTCTTCTTATCCTATTAGATGGCAGCCACAAACTGGAAGCCCTATTCACACCAAGGTTAAACTATGGCAAAGAGGGTAGGTCGTCAGACTAACATCTATAGTATCCTCTTCTTAGCTTTTGCCTTGTAGAAAATCTGGAAGTGCTTTATGGTGATGGAAGTGTGGGTAAGGGCTGACTTAAGAGCCACTCTATAAGTTAGAACAGTTGTGCTGAGGCATAACTTGCTTGTTGGTGAGGCATGAAAGAAAAAAGGTAGGGGGGCATACAAAAAGTAGGCTCATGGAGTACAACACACTCGTTCACTTCAAGTTTTATTTTGCCTCTTGCATGGTCTTCAGATAAGTTTTACAGTTCATTTTCTACAGGAACCGAGCTGTGATCTAAACAATCAATGACATGTCATTCCAACCCTAATAAATATTCATAATCATGGAATAGCATAGTACTTTATGATCTTAAGAGTGATGAAAAGTTTAAACCTGGGCATCTGTTTTACAGTTAACATCTGTGACCAGAAGACCGGCCAAAGTGATTATTAAAAGCCAAGATAAAACCAAAAGCAAACTTGCTAAAAATCCTGATTCCATATGAGAATGATCCTGAAACCTTCCAGATAAAATACTAGAATTGTCCACTAGTGTTAGATATATTCAAGAAAATTGGGTAACATTCAGATGTATTAATACCTAGTAAGGAGCTTCCCTTCTTTCATCTTAGTCCTCAAAAATGCAAACTTGGTTCCAGCTTTCCAACATAGATATTCTTTCTACCCTAAAAAAATGAAGGGCAAACTTCCCTCCCTTCTCACCCATTCAGTGCATACTCATAGGTCCTGGTTGGAAGTCACTAAGTATAATGCTTTAAGACTCATTCAAAGCTCACACTGCTGGAGTTCTACGAAGGAAAATGTTTTCAAGTTTCCTTCTCTCTTTACTCCCTTCCCCTCACAAAGTTAAACTTTTGGGAAGCAAGATAACAAAATACTGTTATAAATCAATGGAAAAGTCAGGCAGCCATTATGAAAAAATGAATCCTATAAAGAGATTACTCGTCGCCTCATGCTCAGAACGCTTAAAAATATATCTAAATGAAAATACATAAAAGGGTAGCCATAAATCATTGGTTAAAAATGTGCTCATTCTTTCTTTTAAAAACTAGATACAAACATGCAAGAATTAAAAACTCTGATTTAATAAAACCAGTAGTAATCAGTTTTGAGATTAAAGGACAAATGACCTAAGGGCAAATTGGGGCCATTCAGTCCCTTAACAGATGTCAATATCAACATTTCACATGCTGACCAGCTACTGAGGTTTATTTCCAGAAGTGACTATAGCTTGCAACAGATGGAGTCCTAAAATTAGGCTCTTATACCCAAAATGGTCATGGCCTAGGCCTAAATGTAAAACACATTAAAAATAATAAAACTTAAAAAAAGACAAGAAAATCCACCCTCTACTCATTTACAGCATTCAAAGTGCTATCCTGACACTCTTTCATTTTCATGAGGAAAAAAATTACAAAACAGTAAACACAAAGGATAGTCAAGTTACAGCTACTTTATATACAAAGAAATTTACAAATCTGTCAATTTTAGGCTTTTGCCATAAACAACTGCACTGCACATTTGTCCCTACAAAGCATACCACGCCTGAACCAATAGTCACTACAGAAGACAATTGGCCATGGCTTTCCAAAAAGCAGAATAACTTTCCCAAACTGAAATCATTTATTCAGCTTCCACTAATGCCACAATTATCCCCCCACTTGGAATCTCTCTACCCTTAAGCTTCTGAAACCCACTAAATCTTTCTAGTCTCTGCCATGTCCCCAAAGACTCAGAGACATTTAATTCAATAAACAAAGGAGGATTACAGAAGTAATTTTGATCACTCTTAGGTGAGAAATGCAACCACACTGGATGCAGAAAATAGTGCTGACTACATTTATTGAAGACCCCTTCCTTATATAAGCCCAGGTAAGAGTCTCAGCACCTAACACCAGACCCCAAAAGGCGGCCCACATCTTTGTTTCACACAAGATTTAAAGCAATACTATCTTCTTCCAACCAGTGAGCAGTCTGAAAAGTGTGATGGGTGAGTTTTACATAGTCTTCTTTGTTTCCAATCCAACTGGTTGATTTGTTGCTGCTCCTAAGACTAAACTGTATGAAGATCTCAACCACCACCCACAGGTGGAGTTAAAGAGACCTAGACAGTTCATAGTACCAACAAATGTCACAGGCTCCGACCAAGTATAACCACATCCTTTGGAAATCCTTCCATTTTTGCAATTTCAAAACAGCCTAACTTGCTGTAAAATTCCAGAATTCTCTTATCATCTGGTCTCACTTCACAGAAAGCTCCCCGGGAGCCTAGAAATAAAACAAATATTAAATCATAAACAAGTAGGAAAACTATAAATATGAATTGTAATTCTTTTTAATATATTTAACATAGGGCGGCGCCTGTGGCTCAGTAGGTAGGGCGCCGGCCCCATATACTGAGGGTGGCGAGTTCAAACCCAGCCCTGGCCAAACTGCAACAAAAGAATAGCTGAGCATTATGGTGCGTGCCTGTGGTCCCAGCTACTTGGGAAGCTGAGGCAAGAGAATTGCCTAAGCCCAGGAGCTGGAGATTGCTGTGAGCTGTGTGACACCACAGCATTCTACTGAGGGTGATAAAGTGAGACTCTGTCTCTACAAAAAAAAAAAATAATAATATATATATATATTTAATACAGATTATAGAGGCATGTGTATACTAGTTCCAAAATTTATACCATAATTTAAATAATTCATACTAATGTTAAACAGTGAGTAAAGAAAATGTTTCAGGGAATAGAAAATAAGAAAGCTTAATGTCAAGGATAACTCTGTTTAAAACATTTCTACCTCTTAGGGGCCCACGGGGCAGAGCCTATTCCAGCCCATGTCACAAGTCAATATAACCAGAATATCCCAGTCTTTTTTTTTTTTTTTTTGAGACAGAGTCTCACTTTGTTGCCCTTGGTAGAGTGCCCCCAAAGGGGTCATGACCCACAAGTTGAGAACTGTTGCACTACATCTATCTACAGGATTCAGTTCCAAGTTATGACACTGAGAATTATCCTTTCCTCAGTTATTTAAATTATCCGATAAAGAGGAAACCATTCACTTAAATGATATAAGGATGCAACAACAAACAGGGCACATTCTCATGCATCAACGACCCTCTAACAAGAGTGTTACATAGGCTCGGCAGGGCACTAGCCACATACACCAGAGCTGGCGGGTTCAAATCCAGCCTGGGCTTGCCTAACAACGACAACTACAACCAAAAATAGCCGGGTGTTGTGGTGGGCGCCTGTAGTCCCAGTTACTTAGGAGGCTGAGGCAGGAGAATCACTTAAATCCAGGAATTTGAGGTTGCTGTGAGCTGTGACATCACAGCACTCTATGGAAGGTGACACAGTGACACTCTGTCTCAAAAAGGAGTGTTACATACTATTATTGTATGGTCCAAAGGCTAAATATGGTCTTTTAAATTTTTTAAAGGATTGTTTTAAAAAAAGAATATGCAACAGAGACCATATGTGGCCCATGCAACAGAGACCATATGTGGCCCTTAAAGCCTAAAACATAGCAAAAAAGTTTTTATACCAATAAATATAAAATTTTCTCTCTTAAAAAAATATTTTTGACGGCTGAGTTTAGATAAATTCTTAAGCAAAAACTGTATTCCATGGCTCAGTGCCCACAGGTCAGTGGTTATGGTGTCAGCCACATGCACCGAGGTTAGCAGATTCGAACCCAGCCCAGGACAGCTAATAACAATTGCAACAAGAAGAAAAAGAAAATAGGGTGGCGCCTGTGGCTCAGAGGAGAAGGGCGCTGGCCCCATACACCGCCGGAGGTGGCGGGTTCAAACCTAGCCCCGGCCAAAAACTGCAAAAAAAAAAAAAAGGAAATAGCTGGGCATTGTGGCGGGTGCCTGTAGTCCCAGCTACTTGGGAGGCTGAGGCAAGAGAATCACTTAAGCCAGAGTTTGAGGTTGCTGCAAGCACTCTACCGAGGGTGACAAAGTGAGACTTTGTCTCAAAACAAAAACAAAAACCAAAACCTGCATTCCTAGATTAAGTTTCTCCCTCAGGTTTTACATTTAATGTTCCTCTATTACTTATGGGCTGACAAAATAAATGCATCCTCATGTACTCACTTTTCATTTAACTGAGCTCAAAATAAGTCTTCAGAGTGTAAAAGAGCAGCTTTTTCAGTGACTAATACACACGAAATTCATAACTACTTATAATTCAAATCATAGACAGTGGGAAAAGGAATATAAATTGATAATTCACTTCTTTATCCTAAAATATAGTCTTGTCCCTACTTTACACAATCACCACTAACTCCACAAATATATACTTACCATTAGCCTTCAGTGAAGACAAGAGGCAGGCCATCATGCTTTTGGCCACACTTGGGTCAGTTACTTTTTTGTGAATATCCATCTTTATCAGAGAAGGGAAATTGGCAAGGAAAGTTTCTGGCAATACTTCTTGTTCTTCATGAAAACTCAACATTATTTTCTGTAAAAATTAGAAAGAATCTCTTGACTTTCAATAGCTGCCTGTTGTATTATCTACGTGCCAACTACAGAACTCAGTAATAGGAAAAGAAAGCGACAGTAATAATTCTTTTAATCATTATGTAATTGTTACACTCAGAATTAAATTCTAATTCTAACTGAAGCATCTTTTTCTTCTTTTGAGACAGGGTTTAGATCTGTCACCCAGGATAGAATACAGTGGGATCATCATAGCTCACTGTAGCCTCAAACTCTTGGGCTCAAGTGATTTTCTGCCTCTGCCTCCCCAGCAACTGGGACTATAGGCACGTGCATAGCACTCTACTGAGGACAACAAAGTGAGGCTCTGTCTCTAAAAAAAAAAAAAAAATTAAAATATAAAAAAAAGAAAGTTATACCCTTTACCCATTTTCTATATTTGTCAAATCTAAGAAACCAATAGCTAGGCTCGGCGCCTGTGGCTCAAGCGGCTAAGGCGCCAGCCACATACACCTAAGGTGGCGGGTTCGAATCCCCAGCTCGGGCCC